GTCTCTGAAGCAGTACTGTATCTTTTAACATATAATAAGTCATGATTTGTGATGAAAAATGTTCTGTCCTCTGGTGGTGCTCAGACTGTGAATGACTTGGCAGATAGAATCTCTCCCACTGAGCTTTGCCTTACATGTTGGTGTGCAGTTGCCTGGTTACATGTGTAGTTAGCAAAACTGGTTTAATGTGTGTTTGTACTCCCACTCAAATTAGATGATGGTTAGTGACAGAAGAGGAGAGAAACCTTGATGTATACAGTCATGAAATCATGTGCACCATGTAAATATTTAACAAGCTCCTGACTTTATTCCTCATTCAAGTGAAGTGCACTGTGCCCACATCTTAATCTTCAAATTACAGCTTCAAGCATAAAGAGATTTAGAGTTAAAGATGTCATATTATGTTTTTGGCTTTTTACCTTTCCTATGTTTAGTTATATCATTTTTGTGCATGTAATAGGTTTGCAAAGTGAAAAAGCCAAAAACCCCAAATGGAGTTACCAATCTCCACTACTCCTGAATTACCACCCTGAAGCTCTTGCTCCTGTCTAGGTTGCAAAGCTGGTTTGGGAACATTTACTGCTGTACCGAAGCCGTGGTTACAGGTTTGTCAGGACCCGCTGATTGGCTAGTAATTCTTAACTAGGTAAAAAAAGATCAAATAAAAGTGAGATGCTTCACTCCATAACTAAAATGGAGCGGTCAACACACAGGGTGAAAAGAGGTGCTGAAGCAATGTGCAGTATGACAAAATACGGTGTTTTTTTCAAAAGGAAGCAATGTAAACCTGTTCTGGTACAACTCCTAAATTAAATTATGAACCTAAAAATGAGCTTAAAAGGACCATCTTAATGTAACTGAACATCGCCACTCACGAACATAATTCCAGACAGCAATATGACTCATTAATATTTTATATTCAATCATATAGATCAGCAGAAGTCACAGTGAATGTACAACTCTGCATGTGTATTTTCCGTGTTTTATTGTATTAATTTCGTCTCAGTGAGGCCCCACATTAGATACCCAAAGTGCAAACACTCATTTGATTACAAACCAGAGAAAACTAGTTTCTGCATGCTTGCCAGCTGTGAATGCTTGGCATACATAAAGTAACCATTGTTTGGACATGACTATACTGCCACTTAAGTAGGCACAAATTCACTATAAATGAAATGTCTATCCTGGAGACTTGTGTTTTAGTATGGAGAAGGAGACAACTGGAAATTAGATTTCTGCTCTAACACTGACTAGATGCATTATAGTAAGCTATTCTAGGGATTTTATTTTTTGTTTTGTGGTTATATTTCCATTTGATACAATACTCACAGCTGGAAAGCACTCACTCCAAGTTTTTTGCACCTCCAATGAAGATATTAAGTATACTGTAAGTAGGTATACAACTGATCCTCATTACAAATACCGATCTGCTGTCTGTGTACACAGTATATACTGGCACAACTTATATTCATGTTTATTGTCTCTATATACTTAAAATGTATAACTATAATATTTTTTTCTGATAACAAGGTTGGGAAAATAAATAAAAACACAAAGAAATCAATTGCCCTCTGTTGTTGAAAGATCAAGGAAAACACTCAAACTATGTGGCAATCTCTGTTCGACACCCACACTGCATGTAGTACACAATGTAGCTCACTCTGCATTGCAGCCCTCTACTGTATCTTAAATGCTGCAGACTCAAACACAACTGACAAACTATTTCAAAAACAACAGTAATGTCTACATAGTAAGTACAAATGTTGATGTTTCACAACAGCCACATATTGTAAATCACATTCTATTCAGTTTTATACTCCATTTACCCTGAGTGATAATCGGATGGGCCACACACATAACTGCCATATTCCTCTGTCTGCACTTGGTCTTTAGGGGCCTTCAGTTAACCAGAAATCGCTCATTTAATTCATACATGATGTCATACTGAATCAGAATTTTACAAGAAAGCTCACAAAGATTTCTTGTTTCCATATAAATTAGAACAATGTAAAGCCAGCAGTAACATCTTTTTCAATAGTGCAGAAACCTTAGGTTTTGTTCTTGAAAATGTTACTGTATTCAATATAGAGATAATTAATATATGTAAAATTATGGTGGTGGTTTCAATCTTGGATTATCAAGGTTCTTACAAAGTAGAACAATGACACTGAAGTGCTGGAAGGCTGTTGGAGGCTTAAAATTAGATTTAAAATGTGCTAGCGACATGCAAGGCAGCTAAAAATACAGAAGCTTATTGATTTTGTCTTTCTTGAGCTAAATATTCATTCAGATGACACCATGTTTTTCTTTTTTTAAACAGTGTTTCAGCTTCACGTGCGTTCGTGAGTGATTGTGTGAGTGCATGAACTCAGCAGCTGACGTTTTGCAGATGGAAAAGACTGGACAGAAACCTCATGAAACGGCAACCGCTGCAGTTCAACACACAGAGTGAAAACAGAGGTGTTATCAACAGGAAAGAAGAAGAGATAGACCGTAAAACGAGAACAGCAGAAAGCCCTGTGTATATGTGGGAGAAGTTTTGAGGTGCGAATGTGTACTGTATGTGGTGTGTGTGTATGTGAGCCACAGAGCGTGAGGATGATCGGTTTGAAGATGAGTGTGAAGTCACTGTAAGGCCAGCAGAGTGTGAGTGCATACATGTTTTAGTAGTTATATGCACATTTACTAGTTAGTATTCAGGTATACAGATAAATGGCTGGATGGTTCATTCTGCACAATACACTGTTAAGTCACTCTTCAACCACACCAATGACTCACTCATCTGTTTTTGTGTGTAATGTGCCTTTGTCACCTGCACATGCTGAACTGCGCTATTCGCACACACAGAAGGTTCATCCAGGCCCTCTTGAATACACACTTATATATCGTGCATATTGTGTCTCTTAACATGTGAGTAATTTTGACGGGTGTGTGCGACAGAGAGTAAGAGGTGATTGTGTGTGTGTTATTTACAGCATGGGGGCTGCCTTTTGGCGGAAACCTGAGCACTTCAGAGATATAGCGAGGCGGACAGAATCTAAAAATACCACGGCTGAGTGAGCAGGGCTTAAGAAGAAGAAGCAGTGGCTGTCTCCACTGTCAAGCCTGCCTCTTGGTCTTCAGGCTGTGCGCTGCTGTCTCGGAATGAAATATTAGGGCTTTATAAGCAAACGGAAACAAATCCATCTGGGACCAGACAGCTAATTTAAAGTGACTGCTAGAACAAGGGGGATTTTATATCAGATATTGAATGTTTGATCTGTTTGGCGAGTCAGTGTGATGTAAAGTGTATGAAACAGCTATAATGAGACTGTGGATGGATTGTTTGAGCGTTAATCAAAATGGGGAGGGAGAGAGATCATTTGAGCTCATGAGGCATGAGTATTGGAGTTTCATGCTTGCTTTAAAAATGCCACAGTTTTTTGTTTGGTAATTAAGATATTGAGCAGGGGTTTTGGGCTCAGAGTAGATTCGAAGCAACACAGACCTTTGCATCACAGAAAGTACCACATTTCACAGTCTTTAAAATGTTGTGACCTCTTCAGCCTTGACCTCAAGGTCACACCCAGTAGCCACATCCCTTTCCTCTTGTCATCTCTTTCTTAGAGAATGACACATGGATGATAACATTTACAATCCTTACACATCCTGCATCCCAACCTCCATCTCACTTCCTGTCTTTCTGTGCATCCTTCTGTACGTCTATCCCACATGCACAGACAGCCTGAGAGTACCATTACATGTCTAATACCATCTGCGCACACAAAAACTGGCTCTAGTCCCGGGGCCTGTGGCAGGCATTAAAGGCAAACTAGCCAGCAAGTCCACTTACACTTTTATGTGTCTGCCCGACCTTCCATTCATTTGTCCACTGAGGCTTCAAACATAACCTTCTCTCTATTGGCACAGCCTATGGCAGCACCTGATATGTGAAGTACCCTACAAAGTGTAAACGACTGTGGACCGGCTCAGCGGTGACTTGAATTGGCTTGTGATGACTCATAAAAAGATATATTTCAATTTGAAAAGGGGGCTGTTCGTGTAACTTGCTGTTTACGGTCACTTAAATGGAGTCTGTCTGTGCTCTAACTCAATATTCTTTATACCTTACTAAACAAAATTCTGAAAGAGCTCTAATTAAGATTAGGGCTTCAAAAATCTAGTTGAAAGGGAGTCTCAAATGTCCTTGAAGAAATAAAACAAGTGCCTTTTGCAAGTGAGCCCAAATTAGCATTGCCTGTACAAAAGGGATGTGGTGACCAAGCTTGTATGATGAACACTTAACGCTAAGATTTGCATTTTTGAACTGTGAGCCAAGCTGTGAGAAAATGACTCCATTTAGTCAAATCTAAAGGCTTGAGTTGAATCCTAAAGACTTGAATTGCCCTTGATGGCATGTTTCCTCTCTTCCTTTCAGCTGCAGTTTGTAGCTACTTCTCTCACTATACAATAGCTCCACAAAAAGGTTTGGTCTCTGCGCTTTGTGCGCTCTGTGCTATATATGGACACACATTTACATGCCGCATAAAAGAACATTCGCAGTTCTGCTTCAGTCACAGACATGTAAACACGAAGCAAATGTAATACAGACTGCATCCTTATGAGAGAGAGTAAGTATCGAAGTGAATCAGCAGGTAAATGGTTCTCTTGGTTATTATGTATATGAAATGATTAAACACAGGTGCATGATTACCCACACTTGCATATGAGAAAGCAACCAACCACGCACATGTGCATGCTGTCACGCGCACACCCTGACATACCAGCCTTTTTCCTGTGGGTTCTGCTTCCTGCGTTTGTAGAGCACATACCAGATGATTTTTTATTCTACTGCTGAAAACCGATACATGTGTGATTACATTAAAAAGCCTCATCTCATATTGATCCATCGGCGCAAATAGCCATCTGAACAAGCAGAAGAAGATTATTTAATGCAATTTGTGTTATTTTTTTAATTTCCCCTGGGTTTTGGGTCACGCAGCAGAGAGGTGTGAAGGTGTGAAGGAGAGCAGACAACACTTTGAGTGCACAGTGTATACTTAAGAGCAGAAGAAACAGCCTGTGAAGGGACCGTATCACTTTTTTTGACCTGCATGATGATTGCAAGAACAGACGTACCAAGTAACACAGCAAGTACAAACGCAGGTACACCAGAATTTTCAGTTCATGTGTTTCTTGTAGGGGGTTTTCAGTTGAAGATGTTTCGTTTTCATTTTGAAAAGCAGAAATATTACGGGAAAGTCAGAGACTTTGTGACGTATTGATTTTATATTTTTCTCATGAAGGAAATTCCTCTTGTGCTCATTGCAGGTGATTCCGTTTTAGATTGGAGCACCTATTCTACATGAGCCACGTGCCATTAAAAAACATTTGTAGTTGAATAAAATGATTTTATTGGACATCATCTGCTGTGACTAACAAAATGCAATTGCCTTAGCTCCTATGAATCATCACCAGATGTGTATGTCTGTGTGAGCGTGCATTCACCATTGTACATAATGAATCATGTCGCAGGAGTATGGAATAGACCATTTTGTGAAGCTGTGTGAGCATTTACATGAATCAGAAGGTATGTATGTACAAAATATATACATGTATAAAAGAGTATGTGCAGCATAGCCTGGAAGGATAGTATTTGTCGGACTTAATGACTTCTGCACTTACACTAAAGTCATCAGCGCAAACTTAATACTACGGGCTAAATATGAGCGAGAGCTAAAAATAGTCCCCCGTAGCAGTAACATGCGTAGCAGGATATGGTTGTCTGGTAGATGATAATGAAGAAAAGACGAAAAGAAGGAAGGGGGAGATTTGTAAGTAAAGACATTTATATAATGGGTGATTTTCTGTTATAAAGAAGCCTGGAAAGCTCATCATTAAACATAGAAAATGACATGTTTGAGGGGAATACTGACAAGCCACTATCTATACTTAATGTCTTGCTTTGGTTTGGAAGTGGTTTGGTTTGATAATAAACAAAGCTGTTTGTAGATTTGATGGAGAAAGGAAGGGCAGATTTAGACATACACACTAACAGACAGACAAAGAAATGGGCACAAACTCAGTAGGTACCTTTATGGTCTAAATAAATAGATGGCTCAGGCTAATAATGGATTGAGAATCTGATTAGAGACGGGCAGATAAAAGGACATGATCCAGCTCTATCATTAATGCTGTCTGTCCGCAAACCCTAATTATAACTAAATGCCTTCCCCTCACTCTCGCTCCATCCCCTGTTACTAACCCCACACAAAGCCTGACAATCTGAACAAAGCTTCCCTGAGGCCCCTAATCTAATAGAGCAGTCTATACAAGACAGACACACACACCAGCCAACAGAGAGGGAAGGACATAGTCAGGAGGGAAAGATGAGGGTGTGATGGAAAAAAGAGGACAAGGATTCAGATAAAGGAGATAAATTGGACACTGAGTGAGAAATGACAGAGAGCTTTTCTTTTCCAAGTCTCCGAGGACTGTTGGTGTGATGTTTATCATGAGGGAGCTCTGGTGGGACCACATTGTTCCCTTCTTTGTGTCCATCTGCTGCGAGCTCCTTTTGGGCCCAGCCTATTTTATCAGGACTCTGGTCTGTGTGAGGGTGTCCTCTCTGATCCTTGCAGTAGAGTTAACACTCCTGAAGCAGCCTATTGATTCGAGGTGTGTAAGACAAGCAGCACAATGTGGCCCACTATGTAAACGCAAACAGTCACGAGGAGGTACTGTTCAAATTGCACCAGACAGATGCCCCCAATCAGTGCGTGTGTGGCATTGTTTTTAAGATCAAGTAAGGAAATTAAGTTTGTTTTTACTTTTATTAATGTTGCAGGAGAAAAAAGGTTAATTGGTAACAACAGGAAGAAGAGCAGGTTATTGCATTTACATACAGCATGTACAAGTAGTTGTTTACCAAAGCAAGATTTTAGTTAGTACTTCAAATATGATGATTAAAGTCTTTCCAGTGGAGGATACAATCACAGTGAAGTTATAAAAGGTACATTTTAATTCATGTTCTATTGCAGCTTTTGGCACTGCAGTGGACACAATTGTAATTGACCACCTCACGTTCTGTGTTGGCATCAAGACATGTAATTGGTTCACCTCCTCCTCCTACATGGAATCTTCAACATCACATTTGGCCTATTGCTTGCTCAGCTGCTCAAGTTTGAATGGTCTGTTTTCTGTTCTCCATGTTTTCTACAGTTTTCATCTGAAAACCCAGTATTTCTTGTCATTTTGTCAGTAATAACATATGTTTATATGTCACAACTGAATAACAGGCACCTTAAGTAATTCTATATGGACTTACAGGAAGCTTTGAAGAGTGGAAGAGTATGCATCATTCCTGAATCATTTTATTGAGGACATTTGATGTCATAGAGAAAATAAACAGATAAATTCAAATTGGCAAAGCATCTTTTTAACCAATCATTCCCTTTAATTGGATGGGGTTTTTTTGGTCCGCATTAAAACATCAAAGATGTGGGACACATCAGACATTTTATATGTAATGGACTGGCTATTGCTACTGTAGTTAGTGTCAGCGAGTGCGAGTTATATAATGCTGCCGTCCATCAGAGGGAGACAAGAAAACTAAAGAGACAGCATGTCAGAGTCCAGGCTGCAGCCATGCCCCGAGACACACACACACACACACACACAGTATTCCTCTGTCCGCAGGTTCATGCTTTCTATTACCCTGTGTTAATATGCTCCTCTCTTTCCTGCCCTGGCCACACAGACTGCCCAGATGTCTAGGCCAGGCACATTTAGAATCAGTGTTCAGCATGTTAAATCATCCCCTTATTTTTGACATGCTACCAATGGATGTTTTGCAAAGTTGTGCAAAATAATTGCATGTTTTAAATGGGAGAAATTACAAGGCCAATGCAAAGACAAACATTCAATCTCTAACAGACTCCTAGTGTATGTCAAACAAATGGCATGGCAATTTTTAAATTCAAGAATGACTACAATAAACATAGCAGTCAAATGTTTTCCTAGACAGCAGTGATAAACCTCCCCTTTAATCCTACAGCATGACGAAGGAGATAAGTCTTGGTTTACTGAAGTGTGTGCAGCAACCTACTGAAGGGTTGCATGCAGTGAGTGTGGTCCCTCCTGTGAAACTCACAGGAGACTCACAGAGTATTGAGTTACACAGGGTTTGGTGAAAATCGCAGAATATGTGAATGCCGTGAAGCGCTGAGCTCTCTCGTTCTGCGTCAGTAAATATTTTACTCCTGCGCCATATACGAAAATTGTTGCAGGAGAAGGCAACAGCGCTCCTCTGTCCACCATGCTTACTTGACTGGTTGGAAAATCCCCAGCTCTACCACTACTGCTTCTAAATAACCAGCAGGAGGCATTTCAGTACACTAATTTGCTATACAGTGAACATCTTCTCAATAGAGGGTACTACACTAACCACAAACTTCAAAAACTTTCTTCTCTCTTTTTCCTAGTGGAGCTGGATGCAGAGCATGCACAGAGAGTCCCTGGGGCAGAACAGGGAGGGGTCCCACCCACGCAGGTCAAGCTGAAAGAGAGGCAGAAGTTCTTTGAGGAGGCCTTCCAGCAAGACATGGAGCAGTACCTGTCTACTGGCTACCTGCAGATCGCTGAGAGGAGAGGTGAGAAGGAGGAGCCGTGAGGTCAGAAGTTTTTCTCCAAAAACAGCTTGAAATTGAGCATTTCTTGTGGTCTGAGGCCTGCAAAGGAAAATGTTGAGTTAAAGTTTTAGGCATTGGTGTCTGTAACTCATTTGAGGGTGATTGCAAAAACCAGCCATCATTCAAATGAATTAATTCCAAAGTCCTGATAGCATCAGCCAAAACCTTCACACTTCAACTGCATATCACAAGATTGAGCCATAATAGCTTTCTGCACTGAGGCTCCACTCTCTGAGTGCCTGTTGCTAAACACACAAGTAGAGCCATTACTTTGAAAAATGCCACCGCACCATATAAATGTAGTCTTCTACTGGGATTGTAATAGAATCCTGCTGCAGTTTACCCCATGTATTACTGCCAAATGTCTGTGCTAAAATACCCAAAGGATGTGCTGAAATGAGGGACTGCATGAGATATGCCTCCTGCGCTGAAAGATGTATTGGACTCTACTGGCCCAGAGTTTGTAATGTGATTTTTTTTCTTCTTCTTTTACTCATCTATCCTGCTCCCTTAATCCACTGGAAATAGGTTATTAGAGAGGATTGTGAAGTAGTAAGGATGGAGGAAAGATGGGGCGAATGGAAATAGACTTAAGGATAGCAGAGGGAGAGAATGTGAGAGACTTGTTTTCACTGTCATTTAAAACAGCTTTTTTTTAATCAGTGCAGGGTTTTTTAAGGGAATGGACCTCCATGACAAAAACAACCACTAAAGCCAGGTTTGAGGTACAGTGAGTGAAATATTCACAGCTCGTTTTTCAAAGACTGGTCAGAATCATGTGTAGTCTACATTCATTCATGCTGGAAAGACAGAGGAGATGTTTACATTTAGATTTCACACTTCAAACGATGTGATTCACAGTACAAAGGCAAGCATGTGGGCTGCTCGACAAAAATCCACAACAGCCGAATTAGAATCAGCCAGCCGTAATTGCTATAAGAATATTTGCAATCAGTTACAGAGGAGGCTCACATCATAATGCTGGCAAATCAGATCTGAAAATAAGGCTACGGTGTGAGAGCTGAACAACACAGCACACTCCAGCTCATTATATTTCACGCAGCTGCAAATCCCTACAGCAGGGCGGCGCCACTGAAAAGCGAAGATACAGCTGGAGACACTGAGAAAGACGGGGGTAGAGATACAGAGAATGAACTGAAAGGAGATAATCAAGAAAAAGAGAGAAAGGACTGCAGATGTCATAAGCCCCTGAGCCATCAAAAGGCAGTCTCAAGGATGTTATATATACACACACACACACAAACACAAACACACACACACACATACATGTATATATACACTCTGCAATCTCACTGCAGGCAAAAACAGTCTTTCCCAGCAGGGGAACCTTTTAGGCAAGGTCACAGTATGGCTAAAAGAAGAACATGTTAGAGGCAGTCACATGGAAAGGATGTTCTCAACGCAGCTTTCTGGATCAAGACTTTCACAACATAGCCATAGTCTTGGTTCGTGTGTGTGTGTGTGTGTGTGTGTGTGTGTGTGTACTTTTGTTTATTTTTGTTCATGTGCGGAAAGATGGCCCTATTTGGGACTGAAACTGAATCAGCATCCTCCATACTATGGGCCTGATTTATTAACATCCCGAATAAAGAGAACTAGATTGCGTGTGTCTTCTAAAATATTAGTACCTGCTATGGGGGATCAACTAAGAATTATTGCGGCGATGACAACAGGTGCAAAGACAATGGAGGTGGGAGTATTTAAATGGGGGTTTCGTGTTTTAATGGTTTCCGCCATAGAGACTCGGGAGGGAAAGCAGCCACCGTGTAAAAACTTTGGTTTGTTTCATTCAGTGCATCCCGAGTATGTGGAAATCATATGTACCTTCTCATCCTGCATAAGATTGCACTAAGTACTTGGGACAGCACACCTGAAAAACTGCTTTGGGAAACCCCAGCAGAAACAGATACAGTATGCAGGAATGACCCAGATGCCAGGAAATGCCAGCAGATCGTGTTTCATCCAGCCAGACGGAACAATCACAGACCGTTCTGCACCGTGCCCGGTCGCTCCGCGATCTCCTGTCCCTGTCCCTGTACACCCCAACGCCCCATTCCCTCTCCGATACCTACAATGGGTTGTGTCGCTATGAACAGTTAGAGCTCATTCCCTCTGGCTGGATGAATTTTACACATGATCCATGCAAAATCACGGAGAAAAGAAGTCAGGTCGAAATGAAATTTGCTTCATTGGCATGGATGTTGATACAACAGTATTGTCAAGGCTAAAGGAAAATACAAAAAAACAATTCAATTCATATAGTTCATCAAATAAATAATTTTATTTCTATAAATTGGATATACAATAATATTATCTAATGTTAATTTCTCTATGTCTTCTTTCATTATGGCTGTGTATCCTTCTCGCAACGATAACAGCAGCCATCTCTGCGCAACACTTGGCGGATTGTACCTTCCTTTCAAAAGTATTAAATACAGAGGCTGTTGCACTCACATGAAATTGCTTTTAGGCTTGTTAAATTACTCTGCGTGCAGTAAATAAATGCATTTGCATGTTACCCTCCCATTACTTTGCACAATAAAACTGAAACGCCCCAAATTGCATATTCATTAAGGCAAAAGTACTAAATGAACAACAGGTGCTATCTTGCACTTTTGAAAGACTTCGTTCTGCGTGCACACCGTTAGTAGATCAGCTTACTTGTTAATTTGCTGATGATAAATTGAAAATTGAATATCAAATTTGCACACGTTTTTACTCACGCAAACCTTAAAGTAAATCAGGGCCTATGTTTTATGAGGCTGAATAGCTGCTATGTGGTGGTAATTGCGTTGCTGACAGGCGTGATGTGGAAATGCACATTAGAAGAGGATCCATACTGAGAATTCATTAGCAAGCATTAGACCTTAGTTCCTCTAAGATGTGTCACAGAAAACACTGCTGTCTCCAGAGTGAAAGAGAGAGAAGGAGAAAAATGACTATATTACTGGATTGGTGTATAAAATGTGGAGTGATTTGGTGTGTGTATGTTTAAATAATACACAACATGTGTGTGTGTTTGTGTGTCTTTGTGTATATGCATTAAATCTATCTAGGTTTGTAGAGTCAGTTTGTATAAAGTACATTTGTAGACATTCCCATGAATTAAAGTTGAGTGATCTGAAATTATGACACTCACACATGCGTGTGTGTGATCTTTTGTACCTGTGTTGTAATTTAAAGGACAGGGAGACGTTTGGGGCAGTCTCCATGGGAAGTAACTTTCCCCTTCTTTCTCTCTTTCTTCACTGTTCTGCTCTCCCTCCCTGTGCCGCCCTCCTCTGCTCTCCTCATTTCCTTGAGGTACGGTAGCCAATGGCATCTTGTCTCACTGCTGTGCACCGACCAATAATATACCTTCTTTGTCTTGCTCGCTACACTACTCCATCCCCACCATCCCTACTGTGCACTGACTGGCTGATTGTGACGCATGCAGCACATCGTGTCAGTGATCGGGGGGGCGTGGGGGGGGGTTGAAGTTAGAGTAGTATCTGGTGTGTAAGATGAGTTTCCCCTGATTTTGTTGTCGACAGCTTATTAAACCACAATGTAGTTTGCCAGTTTAACAGGTGATTCAACCACTATTGTTGTGCCTTAGATGAAGATCAAATCACATTTATGACCACTTTATGCTGAAATCCAGATAATTCCAATTCCAAACAATTGTACATTGTGTTTATTAATTTGTTCATTGTACATAATTTAATTTTGAGGTGTTTCACCCAGCCCTGAAATATACATGTACCTACGACTAAGAGGATTAGCATTATTCAGGGTTGATCCCAATAACTTCAACTGGTACAAATGGATATGAACATTTGAATTCTCTTTCAGGAGCCTCTTTGCTTCTGACCCAATGAAATCTATCTGCCTGAAGAATAGGTTCATGTTCAAGTCTGCCTTAAAACAATACTCACATGCCCATATGTACGTTAACAAAAATGTATTTAAAAAGATAGCCAAAGTTAATATGAAGCTTCAGAAGTTATTTGAATCAAGTCTGTATCTTCTATAGTATTTTAAGCATAGAAGCAAGAAAGAAACAAGAAAACCCTGGGGAATTTTTTACTAAAATGACATTTCCTTTGGAAGATACCCACTTCATTTGTACAAACGAGCATGTGAGTATTAGGATAAAACTTAATTATATTGTAGGTGTTGCTTGTCGCCTTCGTATACAGCTTGCTACATACAGTGACACCTGCCAATCCATTATTTGTGGTAATGCTTCAGAAGGTAAACAAACTGTTCCATGAATACAACTTACCCATTTCAAATGCCATCTAGCTTGAATGTGCTCCCATTTGCTTCTGCTTGGCAAATTTTGGAAAACAAAACATCCTCAAAGCGCCTCTCGTCTTGGACTCAGCCCCTTGCTGCTGCACTCTGAATGCATCAATCTTGTGTAAGGCTAATATCTTTATGTCGCGTGTCATGTCCAGGGCCAATAGGAAGTATGTCATCCATGGAGGTGAACGTGGACATGTTGGAGCAGATGGATTTGATGGACATGTCTGACCACGAAGCCCTTGATGTGTTCCTGCACTCTGGGGGAGAGGACAACAGTGCTGCCTCACCTGGCACAGGTAGGTGGCCATAAACACACACACAAGATAGGTGTTCCACAACTAAATTAATTGAAACTATAACAATTCATACAACACTCAATCTCTGAAGTCTACAGCTAATCTATATCAAAACATTAGCTGAAGCTGAAATGTGTCTCATAAGATTGACAAGAATAATGTTTAGGCATGATGCACAAACACCATCTGTCCACATCTGCTTGGGAAATTTCTTGTCAGAGTGAACAACCTACAGCATCTAACTGACAGCTTGTCTTCGTCTAAAAATAGTATGATACAAGAAACTCTGCTACATTTTATGTCTGTAGGCAACTGAGCAACTAGCGAGTTTAAACAAAACCTTAAGAAAACAAATAAAACAGTGCCTTCTTTTTATTTGCAGCTGCTGGTCTAGGAGAGCAAATAAATAATACATAATGATAAATAATAGATTGATTGGGTTTTATTTTAAAAGAAAGGGATGACTTGTACAAACACTGAAAGGAAGTTCACCAGTTTCAAACTGGAGGATCTGATGGTACCACTGCTGCCTTACTTACCCACCTCTACCTAGTACCTTCCCCACCTATCCTAATATGTATCTTTTTAAAACAAAATCTGCAGTTATTTAAGTGACTCCTCTGCCTTCCAGGTCCAGACGTTGAGTCTTTCACCACAGAGATCAGTCTCCAGGTTCCCACCCAGGCTGAGCTACGCCATAAGCTTTCTTCCCTTTCGTCCACCTGCACCGACTCAGCCAGCCAGGACACAGAGGCGGGGGAGGAGGATGAAGAAGAGGAGGAGGAGGAGACTGAGCAAGGAGGAGGAGGTGGCGTTGGAGGATCAGGGGGAGGAGGAAGGCGAGCAAGGGCATCTGTGGTGGTGACAGTTGATGAAGAGGAGGTGCCCCCCGATACAGCTTTGGTAGACCATGAGGACCAGACCAGCAAAGACTGTGAGGAGAGCAGGCTGAAGGTTTGAGGAGAGATGGATTTAAACATATACATAAACAATATTGGCTTCCTTCTCAAATTCCTTTCATACTGAAGAAAGAACATATGAAAGAAAGTAAATATGTTGCACTAACTGCCACATGGCCTTGCCTTAAAAGAACAGAGTTTTCAATTCTAATTAAATCCTGTAAAATATCTTTGAGTTCCCTTTAGCATAATAGCACTGAATGGTTTAACATGCACATAAATAGTTTGACATTAATTAGAGGATGCTCTAATATTCTCTTTCGGTGTTAGTGCATGCTGAGACCAGGAGAGGCCTGTTACTAATAAGTGATGGGGACATAGAGAAGCATACACTAAAATCATCCATGTGTCTCTCTGCAGTTTTTTCACGCTCTGTGCTAACACTTGAGCATTCACTCTGCTGACAGACTGCAGCTGATGAGCATTAATGTGTGTTGAACGTTGGTGAAACCTTTGCAGGATAAAAATATATTTGTACCAAATACTTGCCAATTGTAAAAGGCTATCATCAGATCTGTCAGGTTTATGACATTTTATTTTTAAATCACTAAAAGTAAGTCTTCTTTTTGTTTGTATGTATGTATCACATGGGGGGGGGGGTCATCTCACTGACCTCTCGTGGTATCTAGCCATGGTTTTCTTTGCTCAGGTAGTGACTTTTGTGTTGAAAAATGACAATTATTTTAATGGCAACTTGTCTTTTGAGAAATCCTTCCTGGTTAAGCTTAAAAAGTCACATACCTCTCTGTCAACAGTTGTCACAGGAATTTTGCTTTGATATCTCAAAAGCTGGGCATATACATCCTAGCACAAACCTTTTAAAAAAAGCAAATGCTAAATTCTTAGCACAGAGCACTTGACAAATGATCTACAAGAGGCACATGGATGAATTTTCATGTCTTTATAGATAAGCTGAGGCCCAAAAGCTAGTTGTATTTCTTTAACTAGTTTATAAGCTAGATTCTGCAATATTTTAAGCGTAAACAACCAATTAGAAAATACTTTTGTGCCAAACATGACATAATAACTGGCAGTCAGCTGGAAGTGGGTTATATACTGCAAAGCTGACAGACTTGTGGAGTTCAGGTACCAGGGTATCAATGATTTAACACACACAAATACACACATTAAGGAGATTTACCCATTGCCATTCCTTTAATCAATACTACTTGGGTGAACTTCTCCTTTTGAACGAGGACCAAATCCCTGTTTGGACTGTGCGCTATGCGCTGGACGACACCCAGAAGGTTTAAATGTATCCAGATTTTTTTGTACAGAAATGTTGACATTTGTGCAATGTGACAGCATTAATCCTTCCTTTCTTTTCCCCTGCCTACAATTTCTGACTTGTTGGTAATAAATGTTTCTCCCCTAGTATTGTTTAATTTCCATCTAAGCATTTCAGGAACAAGTTAAAGAATGAAATGTGAGCAGGATTCAGGGTTTGAACATGTTAACAGCCCCTGTGCGCTCACTACTTGATTTACAGTCCTGCCTGAGCTCTTTACAAATGGAAAGCTGACACGGTGAGGGAATGGATAGATTTATAGTGTGTTCTGTAGGAGAGGGACAGGGTTTTGAAATACAGGGGTTGTCTGTTGGGAAGGGATATTTTACCTTGCATCTATTCATTATTACAGTGAAATGTTTTTCAACTGAAAAATAAGGAAGAGCAATACTAGTTATGCTGAGAGTGAATGACATCTGAAGGCTGAGAGTGGATGTGTTCACTGGGAATAGTAAATAGCTGGTGTCGATGCGTGACAGTCACTCCAGTGCACTTTAATTAAGGTTATCAAACTACAGGACCCTCCAACTGTACAATGTGTGGCATGTGAATAGAGTGATAAGCTCAGTGTTTAATGAACATAAGAGCACTTCTAATATATCCCACACCTGTTGCTGCGTACTATGGAATTTGATGTCATGGTACGGCCTTTGTATTTGTATTGTAGTGAACCAAATTACATCAAACTTCTGTTTAATTTTTTCTCACTTACCTCTAGTGTCTATCTAGCAATGCAGAGAGTTTGGGAAGTACAGATGCTGCTGGTTGCACCACACCCTAGTACAATGAAGGTGCTTGGACATTTGTTTCTGGTGCTCATAGCATTAAAAAAAAGGAGATTTAACAGTAATGGTTCTTTCCAAAAACAACATAATTCCTCAACAACCCACAGGCCTCACTGTCAACAGTTTTAGCTGGAACAATGTTCTACCAAATAAGTAGTTCCAGCAAAGGTTATATACTGTCTGGATACACTGCATGGCTAAATTAGGGCTGCAGCTAAGCTTTTATTTTTATTGTTGATTAAATCAGTCAGTTAATTAGTCTCTGATAGAGGTTTTCAAAGTGGGAGGCGGGCCTCCCCAGGGGGGCTCCAAACAGTTTCGGGGGTACCTCAGTCAATGGGAGTGAAAATACTACATTAGTTATCAGGACATGACATAGAATAACCAACTTCCACATTAAAAGGTAAAGGGAGATAGTTCAGAGATGCAGTATTTTTAGGGAGGTTTATCTTTCCAGAGTCATAAACTAATAACTGCCTTAGGACAGACCTTTATGTATTTGGTTTAGTCTGAAGTTATGTCAACAAGCAATATTAGGCTATTAGGCTCAATTGTTGAGTGTCTATGGGATATCAAATTATATAATCGCGATACCGTGAGCATCCAGGAAATGAGTGAAACTTTGCAAGTAAACTAAGTGGGGGTGAGGGGCCTTTTTCCAAGCTTTGTCTGAGGGGAGGCCCAGTCTGACTCTGAAAACCCATGGTCTATACTATGCAAAAACATTAAAACAAGTCCATCACAAGTTCCCATAGCCCAAGGGTTTTTTTTTTTTTTTTTTTTTTTTTTTAGATGGAACCATCAAATCTTGGCATTTTTGCTGTAAAATGACAAGAGTAATCACGTATCAAAAGAATTGCTGATTAACTTTCTGTCAAGTGACTCATCGATTTAATTTAACCAATCATTTCAGCTCTTGGCCAGATACCGCTAGAGGTACGGGGGGAAATTATTTTGTAAACTGGCTGAAACGGCCCGTTAATGTTAGCAGATGCAACCAGATACCAGCTTGAAATCTAAATTATGATGCTGTTAAAATCATTCCTTCTTGCAGTCATGTCAAAATTCGGCACAAAAAGAGACACAAGCAGATTGGAAAGAAATGACAGTGAATTGTCTGTAAGTTTTTATTAAACCTTAAGTACAAACTGCAAAAGTAAAAAACTGTCAATATAACCAACATGAGACTCTCTTTCCGAGTGGAGGGAAAGGCCGAGATACGGCACTAATAAATTAAGTCACCAGAGACCCCACCGTGAGCAAGTAGTTTATACTGTAGAAAATGGAAGAAACAAACAGACAGAACTGAAAAACAAACAAAAAATCCCATCTGAATAAAATATATTGTAAGGCCATAAAAACTTGACAACCACTTTATTATGTTGAAAACACCCGACTTGGTATTTCATTAAATAGTCCTAAAACAGTTCAGTCTTCTGCGAGGGACGACAACCAACAAACTGGATTATAGGATTTTTCCTTGACAGTCACCACTGGCAAGCTCAGTGCAACATGAGTAGCTACTACATTTTTGTTGAATTTTCAGTAATGAAAATGTAAAAACCCACTTTTTTATGAACATCTCTTTTTTTCCCTTTTCTTTAAAAAAGTAAAGCTAAACAAACAAAACTAGGTTGGGGGGGCAGTCGTTGGCTACTCAATATCTTCTTTCTTAGTGATATAAGCAGCACTTAAAATTTTTTATACACGTTTACCAGAGCAACCCTGTAAGCGTCAAACTCACATGGATGAAGAAAGGGAAATGTAAGGCTTTTTCTTCATCAACCACTCTCCTCTGGAACTTTTTCTCTCTTCCTTCTTTTCTTTCTTCCTTAACCCCAGAAAAAGGCTCAAGTATTTAAAGAAATTTACAGGATTATGTACAAAAAAAAGTTGATGTTTTGTTTGTGTTGGACTTTTTCCTCTCTCTAAAAATCACTCATATCTGGAAAAGGGAAAAAAATGCAAAAGCCAAAAAAAACAAGACAGTTTTAAAAAAAAACAAAAAAACTCAGATTTCATATTTCACATTTTACACTCTTTGACTAGTGGCTCTACTTGAGATAACACATCAGATCAACAAAAGTAAAAAACACAAATAATTATAATAATATAATATAATAATTAATGTTTACTGGTACAGATGAAACAAGAGGACTGGAAGAATGGAATGTTAACACGATTGCACATCTAGAACCAGAAAAGCCTGAAAGCCTTTCTGCCCTGTGGGGTGGGGGTGAGCTAGCTGTTAGCTGATAGCAGACGCTAACCCCCAGATTTTTAATTTGTGTTGTTATACAGTAATTATAACCAACAGCACCAATAAAATGGATCTCCTCGCTAAGTATCAGGCACCATTTTCACTTGCTCGCAAAGGAAGGATCCCTCCATACTACCAGGAAGTCAGGTGAGCGGTGACCTTCACAGGTCAAGCAGCTGTAGCTCTGCCCCCTCTCACATCCACCAACGAACAGAAACACCCACAATGACCAAAAAAAAAAATACACAGAAGACTTCTTGCAAAAAAACCTAGCAAAAAACAAAGCTAAAATTCAAAACAGAACTTTAAAAAAAACAAAAAAACATAGCCAACCAACAATAAACCAACATAGTCTGTCTTTCAAGTTTTTACCTCGCGCCACCAACCCCTCCCCCCTTTTTCTTTTAAAAACCAATGCAGGAGCTGCATCAAGAAAGAATAAAATCAATTAAAAAAAGGACTCCTCTTCCTCAAAACAAGGACAGAGAGAAACTTTGGGTAACTACTTACTTGATGTCATTTTCATTTCAGAAAACTGGGGAGGAAAAAAAAGGCCGCCTTTTCATTTGTCCCATGTTCACACAGTTGAGTGACACATGATGAGAAGGGATGGGGGGGTTCAGTCTCAGGGCCGAGATGGGCGGGAAAGAGTGATGCAAGGAGAAGGTAACAAATGTAACCCATTTCAGTTAAGGGAGGATGGTGGTGGAGGTAAAAGGGTATAACAGGGTCCATCAAGTCTTCTTGTGAACGTTACACTTAATGCTTGTAATGTTGTAAAGGGCGACTTAAGGAGGGACGGGGGATTCTAAAATCATCCAGAACAAAAACAAATTCTTCTTTCACACTAGTGCAAAAAAGACATCTTGCTTTTCTTTTTTTTCCTTTTCTTTTTTATAAACAAGACTGTCATACTAAGGGGGGAGGTGAATATTTTTTTTTGGGGGGGGGGGGGGGGGGGCTGGGGTCAGGTGAGGGGAATTTCAAAGCTCAAAAACAATCAATCTTAAATATTAGGTGTTGGAGGAGGGATTAATAGTGATCCTGCTTTATGTGAGGAAAAAAAAACAAAAACAAACAAAACACAGGAGTTTGGGAGGGTCAGAGCAGGATGTGGGAACAGCGCACCGGGTGGCGATGTCGAGGCGCCCCCTCAGGACACAGCAGCGGCCTTGGGTATGTGGCTGGAGGACAGGCGTGCCAAGGACACCTCCACGGTGGCGCGCTTTCTGGGGCCTCGCTTCGCCGGTGATGCTTTGGCTGGGCTTAACCCGTGGCAGGGGTCCCCTACTCCATTGATGACGACAGCACCGCCGCCGCCTCCATTCTTTAACATGGCCCGGCCACACACCTGGTTCACCAAACTGTTGATTTGCTCCTGATTAGAAGGCCAGAAAAAAAGATTAAAACCTGAATCATTTAACAATGAACATTTTAGATTTATTTTACAATATACTTCTCTAACTTAATTTTGTTCATCTATAATTTATTCAGACACAGTAGGAATTACAGTATTGACACAAGAAAATAGAGCACATGAACACAGACATGCTGAACAATCTAATCTCTGGAGCAGTGTAAACCTAGCTTATGTCTCCCCCATCTGGACAGACAGAGAACTGAATCACAGCAACAATCAAACGGGCAGCTCACCTCATCATATCGATACATCATCTTAAGGCCTCTGCAGGACTTGTGCTTCTCCACATAGCGCAGGGCACACTCCAGACAGAAGACCACATTGTCAGTCTCCTGAACCACCTGCACAGACAGAAACCGAGACAGAGACATTACTGTAGAAACCAGACACTCAACTCAAGACTTCTCTTATTACTGAGATGTTGGGAAACCTGATAAATCATTTAAATGTCTCCACTCTGTCTGTATTATGCCACTGGTAAGTTTGCATATTACAACATTCAATTTGCTAACATTGTTATAAAACACATTATTTATTTATATATACACACACACACACACACACACACACACATACATGTACGTATGTATATACATATACACACACCTCTCTCTCTCGATATATATATAGCTTTCTTGAAGGACATCCTTGATTGAGAAGCTAGCACTATAGCATTTTAGAATTTAAGTCCGTATATCTTATTGCGTTAAACTGCTGCTCTCACCATGGACAGGTAGCAGAGATGCTGACAGATCTGGCAGCGTCTCTCCGAGGACTCCAGTGCCAGCCATTTCCCGCGGGGCTTTTTGCGTCCCTCACCGGGCCCCAGGCTGCTGTCATGGGTGCCGTAGCGAGCAGAGGAGAGCAAACCTGCCTTGTAAAGTTCCTGCCGTTGGCGCATCTCTATGTTCCTATTGGACAAGAAAGATGCTCACTAAGTTGGATGTTAGGGGAGAAGAATATTTTTTAAGGTCAAATAAATAGAAGATTCAGTACCCTTAATGCAACATTTGACTGATTCATTAAATAGTGGAAATGACAGTTTGATCATTTTAAAGTTTTCACTTGCATATAAAATTCTACCTTTTAGAATAGTAACCGCATATGTAGCGTATGTGTATGTTTGAAGACTGAGAGTATGTGCGCATTTAGGACCCCTGCTCCATCCTACCTGAGGTCTTTGAGTAGGGCAGAGATGGTGGTGAGGAGAAGGCCATTATCCCTCTTGGATTCAGCTGTAGCAATCTGGTACAGTAGCTTCTCCATGGAGAAGGGTTTGGCTATGCGACGACATTTCAGGTCCTGCACACAAATTCAGAATAGATTACAAATTATGATTCTCATTGAATCAGTAGCAGACTGTTGATGTGTTCTGTGGTGTACATTTTTATGTCTCAAAATAAAAGACACCCCCCCCCCCCATTGGTAATTTATTCAACCTGTTTTGTTTCCTTTTTTTCCCCCCAGAGGTTTACACACATTCAAATACAGATATTTTAACTAGGTAAAGTGAGAGTAAAGCAAGTAGACTGGTAAGCTCCAACAATGTTGATAATGTTGTTGATAACCATTTGCAGTGTAACCACAGACTCTGTACACTCAGATAAATATTTTGTAAGTACAAATTGTCTACCATTTGGAAGAAAATGTTTCAGGCAGTGCACCAAATACAGTACATTGTATGAATGTCAAATTACCCTTGAGAGCAATCTTTGCTGTGGCTATGAATACGATGGTATTGCTGAAGGTATACGTACTTCCATCACTATAATGTCCATAATGACAGTAAGGAACATTTTCTTCTCTTTTACTGCCTTAATGAGGTCCAACGGCTTCCTCATGATGACAGAAAAAATCTAAATACACTCCCCCAGGAGACTTACAGCTGCAATTACCCCTCAAAGTTCAGCACACTGGCTGATTAGAGAATCAAGCTCTAGGTTCTAAGTTCATTTATTCATTTCAGTTTCAATCAACTTTACATAAATCAGAGCTTTAACTGCCACTGTCCACAGGGGGCCAGTGTTGTGAGGTATTACAAACCAGGAGTGAAACAAAATAACATATCTGTAATACACATAACACAGGCAAAATATTAATTCCAGAGACATTTTGATTCTATATTTCATATTTAAAGAAAACATGTTGCCCTTATTGCACATTTTGTTTTCCCATATACAGTATGTGCCATTTAGTCATTTAACATGGCCCTTGTACTGATATGCCGCCCCAGATTCAGGATCATATGCTGACCTTTGCAGCTTGGTAACCCAGGTTCATCCAGTGGGGTGTAGCAAAATGCACCGTCTCTGACACGCTGTAGCCACAGCACACTTTAGAGACAAAGGCTCCGGGAAAGCACACCACAAACTGGCCGCTCCTCTGGACCGTGCGGTGAACCTTGATGCCTTCACGGCACAGCACCTCTGGAGAGATCTGGAAGTTCAAAGAGGAGTAAAGGAGAGAAAGAAAAAAGTGTTACATTTCTGAAACTGTATCTTTTCAGTAATGAAGTGCCTTTAGAAAGTACTATGACTGATGAAAGACTGCAAAGGTTTCTAACGTGATTATTGCATTACAAAGAAACAGGGCAAAATATTTCAGTTCGCATCGACACAAAACACTGACCATGATGTTCTTCTCCAACATTTCCAGTCCCGGGGTGCCATTGGCCTGAAGCAGTGTATGGACCACCTTGTCCATCTTAGCCTTCTCCTCAGCAGGGACAGAATACCTGTGGGAGAAACACACCGAGACAGAGACATACTAAATATTCCTTCAGGAAAAGGATCAGTTGACTTTACCTCACTTTCAGAGAACTGTGTACAGAGGGGAGACTTTTCCCCAACGGGTTTCCTTGCTACTTTTACATATGTTTAAAAAATTTACAGTATTAGAATTTGGTGTTGAGTGGGATTGGGTACACAATACACCAGGAACAATGAGGAGAAGTGCCCAGTGCATACTTACCAAATGCAATCAGCACCAGTGTGTAAGTAATCAATATATGGAAGGCGATTTTGGTCTCGAGACCAGCATGAGGTAGAAAAGACCATGCCAATGTTAAGCCAGGGAATGGTCACCCCTGGGGAGACAGAGGGGTTTAAAGAGAGAGCATAGGTTATTATTTACTGCAAAGTACTCAAACAATAGCACAGAATTTGTAGCGATGCAGCAAAAAAGTAATTTACTCCCTATATATGACATGGGAGCATTATGCAACTTTGTCTTGCGCAGAGTATGCTATTGAGCAGCTACAGCCTTTATGCGGTGTACAGAACTGTTTTTACATTCCCTTACCAGGCACAGCACCCAGATGCCTCAGAATGGATCCAGAATTATTGGGGAGGACAGTGAGGTTCCATCCATGTCTGAGGAAAGAATAAGAGAAAATGATGATTTGTGCATTTTTTTTCCCCAAGGTTACCTAAAGAATACCTTGGTAAGATTGCTCAAGGGCGCCTCCATGGTCACTCTCGAGGAAGCGGGCAGTGTTACTCTTTAGGTTTCTCAGCACCGATTCACCATCTGAGATTCATATAGTCTTGCAACACGGGCAGAATACCCTGTCCAAACTTTCAATTGAGTAAGGTCTGAGTAAAGGTCCGTAAGTGTTACTTACTTTGAAAATGGCTCTGACTTTCCTGTGGGGAAACCACTGCCATGTGTACTGGTGTCCACCTTCCCACAATGCACCGTCACATGGGTATCTCTCTGCTCCACAATCCTCCAGTACTCTTGCTGCAAGGAAAGGAAGAAAGGCCGATCAGTGGAAGAATGCATGAAGCAGGGTGCAGGTTTCAGGTGTGCCTCAGTCAATTATGTCAACTAACTGAACAGGTGCTGCTAGCGGAGGTCTTTGAGAAACTCCTGTTTGAATGATTTTCTTATAGTTAAACATTTGTTCAATGCTTTGAACTGGCAGCTTAACTGGCAGCAACTAAATGTTTCATTAAAAAAAAAGCTTTTGTATACAATACCGTTAACATTGAATACAAGTAGTTTAATCAAGATGTTAACATGCTAACCTCAACTTCAGCAGCTCCTGGTTCCTTGTTAAAGCACATGGTCATGGTGTTCCGGGCTATCCTGAAGAAGTTAGTCAAAGACACAGATTTCCCCTGAAACAAAGAGGCATTAAAACATGAGTCACAGCATGCTAAAGGGGTCTGAGGAAAAAAATAAAAAAGCCAGACTCACACCATATATTCATGGTCTTTGGTCATGTGAGAAAAAGCAAGCGTGAATAAACCACGAGCAAAGAAAATACTGCTGGATGTCAATGAACTGCAAGCTCTTCTCTTTCCCACCATATGTATGAGTCAAAACGTCATCAGGAAAGCATTATGTTTAAAAGAATGCATGTACTGTATGTCCATGGACAAATGTATCAACTGTACATGTCTCTGTAAGGCTGTGCCTTGGTGCTTCACCTACAAGTCCCAGATAAATTCCCCTGGACTTGACCCAGTCTCCCATGGACGCTCCTTCTACAGAGAAGCTTTGAAGGTTACCATAAATCTGCCGGCCCCGGGCCTAGAGATGTAC